TGGAGGTGCTGTCCTGGGAGACAGTAATGGTGAAGCGGGAGGTGCTGTCCTGCGAGACAGTAATGGTGAAGCTGGAGGTGCTGTCCTGGGAGACAGTAATGGTGAAGCTGGAGGTGCTGTCCTGGGAGACAGTAATGGTGAAGCTGGAGGTGCTGTCCTGGGAGACAGTAATGGTGAAGCTGGAGGTGCTGTCCTGGGAGACAGTAATGGTGAAGCAGGAGGTGCTGTCCTGGGAGACAGTAATGGTGAAGCTGGAGGTGCTGTCCTGGGAGACAGTAATGGTGAAGCTGGAGGTGCTGTCCTGGGAGACAGTAATGGTGAAGCTGAGGTGCTGTCCTGGGAGACAGTAATGGTGAAGCTGGAGGTGCTGTCCTGGGAGACAGTAATGGTGAAGCTGGAGATTTTGTCCAGGTAGTCGGGAATTATACGCAGGAAGGAATACATATAAATGACCTCATAGGGGACAGGAGCCGTAGTGGGGAAACATGTGTAGTCAAAGATAAGATAAAACCAATATTGCAAACTAGAAATACCACAGGAAATAGCAAACAAGAGGACTCCACTAGCAATAGTGAGGATATATTACCAAAAACAACTGGTGGGAGCTCCATTGTTGGTGCTAGGGAGGATAGGAATAAGACAGGGAAACATGCACCAACAGGGAATACAGTCACAGAAACCCAAGGTAAACGGAAACCAAGCCTGTGCACATACTATGCACTTGGTATCTGCAGACATGGGAAATCTGGAAAAAACAGACGGGACGTGCAACTATGACCACCCTAGAAAATGCCGTGCCCATATGACAACAGGAAAATGCAAACTCCCTTCCTGTAAGCTTTTTCACCCCGAAATGTGTACCTCTTCAGTACAGGAAAGACTGTGCTATAACTTAAATTGCCAGGCACACCATCTAAACGGGACAAAAAGATACAAAACATCCAGGCCATGGGAAAACCTGGGTAGCCACAGCCACCCAAGAGGGAGAGGTTTTTTAGTGCCAGGAAGGAATAAAAACTGGCAGGAAATGGCAGAAATCGTACACCAAATCCAGTCATTCCTGGAGTGGAACCACAGTCGATGGCCTCCACTCCAAACCAACATATACAGATACTAATGCGGGAAAAAAAATCCCCCCCCCCAGTACCAACAATACCACCAATCCGATGACATTCTTCTTTGCAAATATACAGGGTCTAAAGCCAGCAACAAACAACAAAATACCTTTCATCCGTGGACTGCTTGCAGAGGCAAAGGCAATGTTCGCGGCTTTCGCTGAGACCCACATAAAGGATCACTTGGACAACGAAATATGGATCCCAGGTTACAACCTATACAGATGTAACAGAGTGAACAGGCAAAAGGGGGGGTTTGGCCTGTACATTGCAGAGTCACTTGTTTGCACAGAACTGCTTAATGCCTCAAATGATGTAGTGGAAGTTTTAGCAGTAAAGGTCGAGAACCAAAACCTAGTCATTGTGGTAGTCTACAAGCCTCCGGATGCAACATCCCAGCAATTCCAGGAACAGCTGTTAAAAATTGACCACTGTCTGGAAAATCTTCCAGCTCCTGCACCCAACATCTTGCTCCAGGGGGATTTCAACTTAAGGCACCTAAAATGGAGGAATATAGCAAATAATATTGTTGCAGTAATAACACCAGGAGGCAGCTCTGATGAAAACTCACACTCACACGAGCTTTTAAATCTCTGCACAAAATTCAATTTAAACCAGCAAATAATAGAGCCTACTAGACTGGAGAATACACTAGACCTCATCTTCACTAACAATGATGATCTGATAAGAAGTGTCACCATATCAAAAAAATATACTCAGATCACAACATAATTGAGGTTCAGACATGTATGCGTGGAGCCCCAGACCGACATAATGAGATTAGTCACGAGGGAGCATTCACCAAATTCAACTTCAATAACTAAAACAAAGTGGGACCAAGTAAACCAAGTCCTAACCGATATAAGCTGGGAAGATATACTAAGCAACACAGACCCCAACTTATGCCTAGAACAGATTAACTTGGTGGCACTCAATGTATGCACAAGGCTTATTCCTCTAAGAAAAAGGAGGAGTAGATGCAAAATAGAAAGAGACAGGTGCTCCCTTTACAGGCGACGGAAAAGAATAACAGAGCGGCTAAAAGAGGTCAATATATCTGAAATGCATAGGGAGACACTGGTCAGAGAAATAGCAAGCATCGAACTTAAGCTAAAGGAATCTTATAGGAGTCAGGAATCGCGGGAAGAACTAAAAGCCATAAATGAAATCGAAAGAAACCCAAAGTATTTCTTCTCCTATGCCAAATCAAAGTCGAGAACAACGTCCAGTATTGGGCCCCTACTTAAACAAGATGGGTCCTACACAGATGACAGCAAGGAAATGAGTGAGCTACTCAAGTCCCAATATGACTCGGTTTTTAGCAAGCCGCTAACCAGACTGAGACTCGAAGATCAAAATTAATTTTTTATGAGAGAGCCACAGAATTTGGTTAACACAAGCCTATCCGATGTTATCCTGACGCCAAATGACTTCGAACAGGCGATAAATGACATGTCCATGCACTCTGCCCCAGGGCCAGTCTCATGGAACTCCGTGTTCATCAAGAACTGCAAGAAGCCCCTATCACGAGCCTTTTCCATCCTATGGAGAGGGAGCATGGACACGGGGGTCGTCCCACAGTTACTAAAAACAACAGATATAGCCCCACTCCACAAAGGGGGCAGTAAAGCAACAGAATAGAACTACAGACCGATATCACTAACATCACATATCATAAAAATCTTTCAAAGGGTCCTAAGAAGCAAGATCACCACCCATCTAGAAACCCATCAGTTACACAACCCAGGGCAACATGGGTTTAGAACAGGTCGCTCCTGTCTGTCTCAACTATTGTATCACTACGACAAGGTCCTAGATGCACTAGAAGACAAAAAGAATGCAGATGTAATATATACAGACTTTGCAAAAGCCTTCGACAAGTGTAACCATGGCGTAATAGCTCACAAAATGCGTGCTAAAGGAATAACAGGAAAAGTCAGTTGATGGATCTATAATTTCCTCACTAACAGAACACAGAGTAGTCGTCAACAGAGTAAAGTCCGAGGCAGCTACGGTGAAAAGCTCTGTTCCACAAAGCACAGTACTCGCTCCCATCTTATTCCTCATCCTCATATCCGACATAGACAAGGATGTCAGCCACAGCACCGTGTCTTCCTTTGCAGATGACACCCGAATCTGCATGACAGTGTCTTCCATTGCAGACACTGCAAGGCTCCAGGCGGACATCAACCAAATCTTTCAGTGGGCTGCAGAAAACAATATGAAGTTCAATGATGAGAAATTTCAATTACTCAGATATGGTAAACACGAGGAAATTAAATCTTCATCAGAGTACAAAACAAATTCTGGCCACAAAATAGAGCGAAACACCAACGTCAAAGACCTGGGAGTGATCATGTAGGAAGATCTCACCTTCAAGGACCATAACATTGTATCAATCGCATCTGCTAGAAAAATGACAGGATGGATAATGAGAACCTTCAAAACTAGGGAGGCCAAGCCCATGATGACACTCTTCAGGTCACTTGTTCTATCTAGGCTGGAATATTGCTGCACACTAACAGCACCTTTCAAGGCAGGTGAAATTGCTGACCTAGAAAATGTACAGAGAACCTTCACGGCGCGCATAACAGAGATAAAACACCTCAATTACTGGGAGCGCTTGAGGTTCCTAAACCTGTATTCCCTGGAACGCAGGCGGGAGAGATACATGATTATATACACCTGGAAAATCCTAGAGGGACTAGTACCGAACTTGCAAACGAAAATCACTCACTACGAAAGCAAAAGACTTGGCAGACGATGCAACATCCCCCCAATGAAAAGCAGGGGTGTCACTAGCACTTTAAGAGACAATACAATAAGTGTCAGGGGCCCGAGACTGTTCAACTGCCTCCCAGCATACATAAGGGGGATTACCAACAGACCCCTGGCAGTCTTTAAGCTGGCACTGGACAAGCACCTAAAGTCGGTTCGTGACCAGCCGGGCTGTGGCTTGTATGTTGGTTTGCGTGCAGCCAGCAGTAACAGCCTGGTTGATCAGGCTCTGATCCACCAGGAGGCCTGGTCACAGACCGGGCCGCGGGGGCGTTGACCCCCGGAACTCTCTCCAGGTAATCTCCAGGTCTGACTGGTATTGCAATATTGCTTAGTCCTGTTTGTTATTTAGCAACCTATCTTATAATGCCAAAAATTTAATATAGTACATATAATTGGTATTAATTTTTAATGTGTAAATGGTGTTATCACAACTCTGATATTCTGCAGTAATAGGATTAATAATTTTGGAAACTATTATTATTTTGTTACAATAACTGCCTGTTTCAACTTTTTTTGTATTTGTGTATCTCACAATGTAACTAACTGGTATGGTATAAACCTTGGTAATAAATACCGACAAGTTGGTTTAGATCAACTAACTGGTATAAACAAGTGTAAACACAAAATGGAATACTTTTATTTAGAAGTGTCTCTCACCAGGAGCAACCTCAGTCCAACACAGGAATACATACGTAAAATCAAAGACTACATATTTGAGAGGTCAGATGTGGTAAAGTCAGGCATAGTATAATACATCAGGTAATCTGACAGCAGTGTCCAGTAGGGTTAGCTTTCACAAAACTGATGTGCTGAAGTTTCCAGTCTGTATCAGATCCATACTGTGTATGTATAAGTTAAATGGCTAGATTATATTTGTTATACGTAAACTGTATTGACATGTGAAGGAACAAAGCCCTATGGAGACAATAAATTGAAAGGTAAAATGAATACTGCATGCTGTATTTCAGCCTCATAGTGAGGCTGGGGCTCTCTAATAGACCAAAGTGTGAGAATGAAATTATACAGAACTTGTATCCTGTTTTAGTGTCTCTAGTATTGATTCGTTTGTACTAGTGAGCAATGTTGATCTTTCTTTTATTACAGGAGAACTTCTCTTCATCCTATTTGGTTTATACCTGTCATGGCACCTTAATAAAGCTGCGGGGAACTCTGGCGAGTGCAGCGAGCTGTCAGAACGTCGTGCCCTGGCCAGCGCCCTGGTGCTGGAGCTCATCACATCAACAGTGTTGTACATCGGACGTCACTTGGTCTGGCTACGAGCACATCCAGACCATGTCTTCCTGGCTTATTTTGCAAGAACTCACCTCACTATTACTCTTTCTGTTTTGATGATCTTGACTCCAAAGGTAAGTTTTAATCACCAATCGTTTGTATATTTTACAATAATCACAATTAGTTAAAGAAAATTTTTTAAATAATTATTTAAAGTGTCTCCTCTTTTTTTTCCTAGGCATATATGATTTTACTGTGAACAGTCAAACAATTCAATTTGATTATCAAATAGTTAAAATATTATTTGTATCCAGGCTAAGCAGAAGTGAAATTTATTAAAACAGTAAGGAATTTAGCAAAGGCATGATATGATAGGAAGCAGTATGGCATATACTCTAGCAAATGTTCATAATAAAGTATGTACGTAATAGGTTACTAAAATTAGTAAGTTTTTATGCAGAGACTAAGGTCCAGGTTAGGGTATGCAGGATTATTATTATAATCAAAAAGAAGTGCTAAGCCATAGGGCTATACAGCAGGGTATGCAGGAGAGAGGGAGGAAAGAAACTATTTTGTAATAAAACTAGGGCTTAGACATGGATGTGTGATGTTACCATGGTTGTTGAACATATTTATTGGTGTTGTAAAAGAAGGAATGATAGGGTATTGGAGAGAGAAGTGGGATAAAAAGATAAATTCAGTAGAAAGTGAGAGTTGTCAGAGTTGCTCTTTGCCAGTGATAGTTCTTTTGGGAGACTGAAAAAAAGTTGTATGTTGGTGGACAAATTTAGAAGGGTATGCAAAAGTAGTATAGTAAAAGTGAACCTACAAATGGTGATGAGAGTAATAAAAAAGTCTGGACAATGACACTATCAGAGTGGAGGGAGTATAAAAGGAAATGAATGTGTTTAGATATTTGGGAGTGGACATGTCAGCAAATGGGCCTATTAAAGGTAAAGTGAATTATAGAATAGATGGGGGGGGGGGGGAAGGTAGGTATGTTAAGGCATCTGTGAAAAGAAAGTTAATGTGATGGAGGCAAAAAAAGGAATTTACTGAGTATAATGGCACCAACACTTGTAAGTGTCTGAGGCACGGGCTTTAGATGTTGCAGCAAGGAAGTGGCTCGAGGGGTGTTGTCATATTTGAGAGAAGTGTGTGGTGTGAATATTATACAAAGAACTTAGAGCATAAAAATTGATGGTATGAACTCATGAGGGTGGGGAGGGTAGTTAGAGCATTTTGAAAGGATGGAGTGAATTAATCAAAATCAAAATTTGATTTCTTTGCTAAGATTGCAATGTGTGTTTACATTTCATAATTTGATTGGTACAAAGAAAGCCACTATTATGCCAAGGCATTTTGTACAGACTTAACCCAATACAGTAGAACCCCAGATTTCGCACACACTGGATACCGGACATTTCGGATTTAGAACACTTTTTGGGGCGAAATTTTACTCCGGATTTCGTACTGTGTCCCAGGAATCGTACGTATCAGACATGTTCACTTGCCGGGGCGCCGCCTCAGTCTGGCTTTGTCAGTGGTTGAGTGACCATTCATCCGAAACATTTTGCAATTTTTGGGCTTGTTTATTGATTGCAACTGTGAAATAAGCCACCATGGGCCCAAAGAAAGTTCCTAGTGCCAGCCCTTTGGTAAAGAAAGTTAAAAACATGCTAGAATTGAAGAAAGAGATTGTAGAAAAATACGAAAGGGGTGTATTGCATCAAAGGAGGAGGAGGAGGAGGAGGAGGAGGAGGAGGAAGAGAGAGGGGAGAAGGAGCCTTCTTCAGTGACTAAGGACATGTGTGCAAAGTGGAATGAGGTGCAAACGTTTGTTGAAAAATATCGCCCTGACCAAGCTGATACAAGCCATATCTGCAACATGTTCAGTGACAATACCTTGTCCCATTTTAGGCAAATCTTAGAGATGCCAGAAACAGCTCTCTGGACAGATTTTTAGTGCAACAGGGGTCCAGTGCCAGTAAAAGACGAAGAAGGGAAGTAACCCCAGAGAGGGCTTTGATACCTGAAGTCCTTATGGAGGGGGATTCCCCTTCCAAACAACCTCAACACACACTCCCCTCCTCGCCTTCTTCAATACGCCAAGGAGAGTCTTCAATAAAGGTACAGTGGACCCTTGGTTTTTGTGTTTAATCCGTTCCAGAGCCATCAGCCAAAACCAAAATCGGCCAAATAATGTAAATGGAATTAATCCATTCCAAACACCCAGAAGTATCAACAAAAAAAATTTTTTTTTTTACCTTAAATATACATTTACATGCACAAAAGAATGAACATTAAACATGACACTTACCTTTTTTGAAGGCTGTTGTTGCTGGAATTAAGGCAGGGAGGGAGGGAGAGAGAGGGAAGATAGGTTGTTTGGAAGGGAAATACCCCTCCATAAGGACTAGGTACCAAGTCCTTATCTGGGGTCACTTCCCTCCTTTGTTTTTTACTGTCACTAGGACCAGCTTGAGAGTCACTGGACCCCTGTCGCACAAAATATCTGTCCAGAAAGGTCTGTTTCTGGCATCTCTTTAAGATTTTCCTAAAATGGGACATACCATCGTCAATGTAAAAGTCACCAGCACGGATTGCAACAGCTTTCTCAGGGTGATGTTCCTCCACAAATGAATGCACTTTAGTCCACATTGCACAAATCTCCTTAATCTTTGAAGAAGGCACCTTCTTCCATCTCTCTCCCTCCTCCCCTGAAGCAGTTTCCTCAGCTGTGGTTTGTTGCTGTTGCAGATGAAGCTCTTGCAGCTCATCATTGGTTACCTCTTCATTGTGGTCCTCCACCAACTCTTCCACATCCTCCAAACTCACATCCAGCCCCATGGAATTCCTCAATGCCACAATTTATTGCACAACAGGTGTAGGGTCAACAGGGTCAGCCTCAAACCCTTCAAAATCCTTCTTTTGGACATAATCTGGCCACAATTTTCTCCAAGCCGAATTCATCGTCCTGGAAGTCACTCCCTGCCAAGCCTTATCTATAAGGCCTATGCAGTGGAAGATATTAAAGTGATTCTTCCAGAACTCTCTTAGGGTCAATTCAGAGTCCAAGGTTGTCAAAGCACCTTTGAAAAATTGCTTTGATGTGCAGTTCTTTGAAGTTTGCAGTGATCTGCTGGCCCATGGGCTGGAGGAGAGGAGTGGTGTTAGGAGGCAAAAACTTCACTGTTACAAAAGTGAATTCCTTAGACAATTGGTCCTCCAAGTCTGGAGGATGAGCAGGAGCATTGTTCATTAACAGGAGGCACTGGAGTGACAATTTCTTATCCAGGAGGTATTTTTTCACACTGGGGCCAAACACTTCGTTAAATCATTCCAGGAAAATTTCCCTTGTGACTGAGGACTGGACAGGTTCCATACGATCGACGAAAACGGAGGTAATCAACGAAAACTAAAGCCAAAAATCGAAGAAAGTCGGCCAAAACCGAAATCGGTGATAACCAAGATCGTAATAAAGTTGGTAGAATTACCGACAATATGTAAAGTAAAAGGACACAAGTGCAACTAATGTGACATTTTATTGTGGCAACGTTTCACTCTCCAGGAGCTTTATCAAGCTTGATAAAGCTCCTGGAGAGCGAAACGTTGCCACAATAAAATGTCACATTAGTTGCACTTGTGTCCTTTTACTTTACATAACCAAGATCGATGAAAACCAAGGGTCCACTGTATGTAATGTTCATTTATCATTAAAATTAGTGCTTTATATTTATTTCTCATTGTTTTCTGTATGTAAAACTATAGTTATTTAAAAAAAAAATTTTTTTGTGAATATTTTTGGGTGTTTGGAACAGATTAATTGGATTTACATTATTTCTTATGGGAAATATTACTTTGGTTTTCGTATGTTTTGGATTTAGAATGACCTTCTGGAATGGATTAAGTACTTAGACTACTTAAGTCTAGACAGGTAAAGAGTGGTAGATTACAAATATTCAATATTTTACTCTATTATTAATGAGGTAATACAATTTATGGTACACACATTTTTAAGTTTGTAATTAAGTTTGTTTATCTATTATTAATGAGGTACTATGTACAATAATGATACAAACATACATTTTTAAGTTTGTAATAATGGCTTAATACTTAAGGGATAATAAAATATTTGGGTAGAGTTTAGCATAGTGTGGGTATGGTTGTTACTGAGAGATAAGATGATTTTTGAATATAGTCCTAAATTGATTTGTGGGCAGGGGACCTCTTGCTGTTTCGGGTAAAGAGTTCCATATCTTCTGGCCCTCTGTTTGAGTGGAGGGTTGATATTGGAGTTTAATGTTCTGTATATATAGTAGGCACAATAATAAGTATGTATATTTTGTATATTAAGTAAGTTCAAGTTTTTGAAGAGTGGTGGGGTGTGTTGTCTGGCGCAGGAGTGTGAGATCACCCACACCACTGCTTTTTGTTGGGTTATTAGAGGTTTAAGGTGATCGGCTGTGGTAGATCCCCAAGCACAAATACCGTAGGTGAGGTAAGAGTATATTAGAAAGTGTTATAAAGTAAAGAGTGCCCTTTGGTGTACATAGTTTCATATCTTGGAAAGGATACCTACTTTTGGAAACTTTCTTAGATATATGCTGGATGTGGGGCTGAAATTTAAGATTACAGTCAAGGTGGAGACCTAGAATTTGCCTTCAATGTGTCTTGTAATGGGTGAACCATTTATCGATGTTTAACCGGATATTTGATGTTCTGTTTCCAAAAAGCATGAAGTAGGTTTTGTCTATATTGAGAGTAAATTTGTTGGTCATCATCCAGTTTGATATTTTATGTAGCACGCTGTATACAGTGTTACTAAGCATAGCTGGGTTTGAGTGGGAGAAGACGTAAGTGGTGTCATCTGAATAGAACTGGTTGAAGGAGTCGTGATGCATTTGGGAGGTCATTGATGTAAATAAGAGTAGAGGACCTAGGACACTTCCCTGTGGCACTCCAACAACTACAGGCTGAGTATTGGAGGTCATGCCATTTGTGTATACATACTGGTGTCTACCACTAAGATAAGATTTTAGGTAGTTGAGAGCGTGTTCTCTGACCCCATAATGCTCTAGTTTGAGGTGCAAGATATTGTGGTCTCCTGTATGAAATGCTTTCTGTAGGTCTATGAAGAGCCCCAGAGGATATTCATTTTTTTCAGGTTTACCTGGAGTTTACCTGGAGAGAGTTCCGGGGGTCAACGCCCCCGCGGCCCGGTCTGTGACCAGTGCTGTATATAGTAACTTAAGCATCTGAATAATTGCATCATTCATGCTTTTTTTTTTTTTCCTAAACTCAAACTGGCAGGGGTTCAGTATATTATGAGATAGGTGGTAGGAGTAGATTCGTTTATGTATTATTTTTTTGAAGATTTTAGAGAATAAAGGCAAGTTAGATATTGGTCTGTTGATATTTAGTTCTGTAGGATTGCCTCCTTTGAGGATTGGGGTGACACTTGCTGTCTTGAGTGTGGATGAGAAACTTGAAGATTCAACAGATTTGTTAAATAATGTTGCAATAATGGGGAACACCACATAAGCTGCTTTCTTTACATGATTGGTGGCAAGTTATTTAGGTCTCCTGCCTTGTTTATTAATGATTTAATTATTAGTGAGACTTCAATAGGATTTGTTGGTGCTATAGATGTATAGAGTATGTGAGCAATTACCAGTGAGGTAGTCTTGTGCCTGAGTATTTGCATTTGGGATTTTGCTTGCTAGTTTTAATCCTATAGTAGAAAAGAAGACATTAAGTTTGTTGGTATTGTTTTTAGGCTGTATGTGTGGTTCGTCTGGTTTCACTAAGTTAATCTCCCTGTTTCTAGACAGCTGTCTAGAGCCTAAAATTTCAAAGTTTTCCAGGTCTTTTTCATATCACCTTTTATTTCATTAAATCTGTTTACATAATACATTTGTTTGGACTTCCGTATTAAATTAGTAAGTACATATTGAGGTATATCGTCTAGTAAGTTCTTTTGTTATTAGGACCTGTCTGAATTTTTTTCATATAGATGTTTATTATCGATGGATTTAAGTACTGTATACTATTTGTAAGCCAGGGGCTTTTTAGTCTCTTTGCTGAGATTTAATTTGTTTTCATTGGACAAAGTCTGTTATAGAGGTTATGGGTTTTGTGTAGAAATATTTTGACACATTCATCAATATCGTGACTGTCCACTAACTCACCCAGCCTGTCAGTGTCATGTAAGGCAGTAATAAGATTATTTACTGATGGCTTATCGTGTAGTCAAAAAGAGATCTTAGTTGTGTCCTGAGGCAGTCTACCCAAGTTGGTTATGAGAAAAGTTGGGTAGTGGTTCATAGTGTTGTCTGTGATTGTCTGCTTTTAGTGGGGATGTAGTATTGATCCAGATATGATCAAGTAGTGAAGCACTTGTCTCTGGGATTCTTGTTGGTTTAGTTATAGATGGTGGTAGCAAGCAGTTGCTCATAGTGTTTGTGAAATCAGCTACTTGGGGGTCAGCTCTTGAATGAGGTTTATATTAGTCACCAGCAAGTAGCAAGTGATGTTTATTCATCTCTGAGTCAGTTATTGTGTTTAAGTTACCACTAAATGAATAAGTATTAGTGTGAGGTAGTCTGTAGACTGCTCCAACTGCTTTGGCTTTTTTTTAGGTTTTTGGATTTTAATTTGGCACATATGTATTCACCATATTCATCCCTGGTGCAAGTAGATTTAATATTAGTTCATTATAGTAGTAGATAGCAATACCTCCTCCTAATTGATCAGGCCTGCAGTTGTGTGTGGCTGTGTAACCACATAAGGCAAAGATGTCTGTTAAATCATGTTTGAGCCAGGTTTCAGTGAGAATGATTAAGGATGTGTTAACATTTAGAGAATTAAGAAGCGCAAGGAGGTCATCATAGTGTTTACTCAGTGATCTGATATTGTCATTGAATACTGTTATGTTCTTGTTGGCACTGACTGGCCTGACTGGCAGTGTAGTAATGGCAATTATTGTTAGGATTATTTGTGTTATTTAACAAAAGGTTAATATCAGGATCAATATTTGCATTCATAAGACAGGACGTATGAACTGGGTGGAAGGAGAGGTAGTTGCCCTTGGAAGGGTAGGAGGGAGTAGGTAAAGGAGGTTTTGAATGCTAGGGACTTGACCATTCGGTAGGCATATGTTCAGATTGGAGTAAGCAAAAAAGTGATTTTTATGGCTTGATGTGCTGTTTGAGTGTGGGCAAGGTAACATTTAGGAAGTGCTTTATGGAAGCCAGTTAGCCAAATTTGAATCCTGGAGAAGTACAGTATATGAATTCTGAGGGAGGGCTGAGGATGTGGGAGACAGCCAGTATTAAAAGAAAATTGAGGGTTGCATTGTTAAGCAAGACACTTTTTATCTTCACCATAAATTAAAATGACCAATAAGATAAAGTAAGCAAACAAGTGAAAATAACAAAACAATCTAGGTAGTAATTTACTCATACAGATAATCATAATTTATCTTGCCAGTAATTTTTGATGTACTAAGCTCATGATTTGTAATTATAAGACCAAATATGAAAATAATGACAATGTAGACTATCTTTTATTGTTCTTAATTAAGTTTATGCCATTGCTTAGTTCCCATTCAAAGTAAGTTGTGTATCATTATGGACATTGTGGTTACAGCTGTGGTGCGCTTTGAGTGGTGGAGGGCGAGACTTACCCAGAAGAACCTACTCCTCCACAGAAGCAGTCCAGGACCCACCTCGCTTCTGTGATGCTCTTACCAATGGTGATCTTGAAGCTTCAGATATCAACCTTAGTCAGATGGACCCTGAGGAGATTAGGGTGAGTAAAGAAACCTAAAGGGAGGAGTGGAGGAGGAATCAGAGACAAGAGAAAAGGAGGGATCTATAATGGATACAAATTATTGACTATAAGGTAAGGTTTTTATTGCTAAATATGCCCAAGGTATTACTCCATTTTTATGAGTACAAATCGCCCACCATACAAAAATGATAGTGAAGAAAATTTCAGGCTATCATCATGTATACCATGTTATTTTTGGGTTAATGGGTTCTAACAGCCCTGAATGACTCAGTCTTACTAGTGTGAGAGTGACTATAAATATGCTTTTGTAAATATGTACAACAATAAGCCTTTTTATTACATGACATCACATGGCACAATTTTATTTAAATGTGACTGAAAGTGCATCCAAAATCTTAAAGCAAAAGAAATAATCTTGACTGATAATGTATCATGAATCTAAAAAAATAACATTAAAAATTTACGCAATATTATCCGTGAATTTTCACAGAATACTACTCAGGCCACCAGCGGTGCTCCCCAGCCTCCCATCATTGTTTTTTAAACCAGTCCCTTCAAGGGACGTTTCTTGATGCTGGTGAAGGGCACTTGATCCAAGGAAATGGACCTACCTTTCCCTTTTTTTCATCAAACCTGAATGCCTCCCATTCTCCAAGTCAGTAAATGATCCCTACAGGTTTATCACTCCCTAATAATTGTAATAATGATTTAAACCAGAGCAGATATACTAATGTCTACCAAACAGCATTTTTCTTGCATAACAAATTTTCCCAAATTTATATAACCTATGAAAGCTTAAACTATATAAAGCATCTGCATAAAAAGTTTGAGGAGAATATTTAATACATTAATATAAAGAATTCGCTAATGTTCATTAAAGTCTTGATTTAGATTTTTTTTTTTTTAATCAAGTTGGCCATCTCCCACTGAGGCAGGGTGACCCAAAAAGAAAGAAAATCCCCAAAAAGAAAATACTTTCATCATCATTCAACACTTTCACCACACTCACACATAATCACTGTTTTTGCAGAGGTGCCCAGAACACGACAGTTTAGAAGCATATACATATAAAGATACACAACAAATCCCTCCAAACTGCCAATATCCCAAACCCCTCCTTTAAAGTGCAGGCATTTTACTTCCCATTTCCAGTACTCAAGTCCGGCTATATAAAAATAACCAGTTTCCCTGAATCCCTTCACTAAATATTACCCTGCTCACACTCCAACAGCTCATCAGGTCCCAAATACCATTCGTCTCCATTCACTCCTATCTAACATGCTCACACATGCTTGCTGGAAGTCCAAGCCCCTCGTCCACAAAACCTCCTTTACCCCCTCCCTCCAACCTTTTCGAGGATGACCCCTACCCCTGGTATCATACATTATCATAATTACTGTGCACTGTAATAATGCATAATGTGCCTTTAACATATTTCTGTCAAAGGAAAGGGAGAGATCAAGAACCCTTCAGTTCTTGACGAATTCAAATTGAATAATATTACTGTCACGAGGGACATGGTTATCAAACTGAACAAACTGAAGCAAAATAAGTCCCTGGGGCCCAACGAGTTATTTTCCAGGGTACTTGAGGAATGCAAGATGGAACTTAGTCAGCCATTAGTCAGCACAACTGGTGTTGTGCCAGAGTTGTGGAAGATGGCCAATGTGGTTCCTATATTCAAATCAGGGGATAAGTCCACTCCTTCAAATTACCGTCCAATAAGCCTGACATCTATAGTTGGCAAATTACTAGAATCAATTATAGCTGACATTATTAGAAGTCACCTTGAAGAGCATAACTTGATAAATGAATCTCAGCATGGGTTTACGAGAGGTCGTTCCTGCCTGACAAATTCACTGACGTTCTTCAATAGAACATTTGAGGCAGTAGACAGTGATAAAGAATATGATATTGTTTATTTGGATTTTAGTAAAGACTTCGATAGAGTACCTCACAAGAGACTCTTAAGAAAAGTGGCAGCTCATGGTATAGGAGGCAAAGTTCTAGCATGGATAGAGGCATGGCTTACCAATAGAAAGCAGAGAGTTTCCATTAATGGGTTCAAATCAGAATGGGGCTTAGTTACTAGTGGCATTCCACAAGGATCAGTTTTAGGCCCCCTCTTGTTCATAATTTACATTAATGACCTTGATGAAGGGATTATGAGTGACACGAGCAAGTTTGCTGATGATACAAAGATAGGCCGTATGATTCATTCTGAGGAGGATAGCAATGAACTGCAGGGAGGATTTAGACAAATTAATGTCTTGGTCTGAAAAATGGCAGATGAAGTTCAATGTGGATAAGTGTAAGGTACTGGTCCTTGGTAATGAAAATAACCCTCGAAGTTATAAACTAGGTGAAGTAGAGCTTTATCATACAGTGTGTGAAAAGGACTTGGGAGTCATGGTAAGCAGAAACCTAAAGCCAAGACAGCAGTGCCTAAGTGTGCGCAACAAGGCAAACAGATTACTTGGATTTATCTCAAGAAGTATAAGTAACAGAAGCCCAAAAGTTATTTTACAGCTCTATGCATCACTGGTGAAGCCTCATTTAGATTATGCTGCTCAGTTTTGGTCTCCTTACTACAGGATGGATATAGACTCATTGGAGAACATACAGAGAAGAATGACTAAAATGATTTACTGTGTAAGGAATCTCCCGTATGAAGATAGACTTAAAGCCTTAAATCTTCACTCTCTAGAGAGACGTAGAATGAGAGGAGATATCATCGAGGTGTATAAGTGGATGACGGGCATAAACAAAGGAGATATTAATAAGGTATTGAGGGTGTCGAACCAGGTAAGAACCAGAAATAATGGATTTAAGTTGGATAAATTTAGATTTAGAAAGGACATAGGTAAGTACTGGTTTTCTAACAGTTGTGGATGCATGGAACAATCTTCCCAGTGGGGTGATAGAGGCTAGGACCTTGGGTAGCTTTAAGAAGAGATTGGACAAATATATGAGTGGGAGGGGCTGGGTTTGATTAGTGTCATTGGGTACTGGAGTTAATTCTTGGGTAGCTTTGGGTAGAGGTCGTTTTGATAAGGACCTGCCTTGTATGGGCCAGTAGGCCTTCTGCAGTGCTCCTCCTTTCTTATGTTAACATCAAGACACCCCCCTTTGAAGGATAAAATAATCTTAATGTTTTTCCAGGGAGTCTGACTCAGCAGTGCTGATAGTTATGAATTGGTTTAAGAATAGTGGAGTGATTAATTGAGGGGACTGCAAGGAGAGGAAAGAGACAAATAATGAATTATGATAGTAATTTTTTAATTTTTTTTTTTTTTCAACAAGTCGGCCGTCTCCCACCGAGGCAGGGTGACCCAAAAAAGAAAGAAAATACTTTCATCATCATTCAACACTTTCACCACACTCACACATTATCATTGTTTTTGCAGAGGTGCTCAGAATACAACAGTTTAGAAGCATACACATATAAAGATACACAACATATCCCTCCAAACTGCCAATATCCCAAACCCCTCCTTTAAAGTGCAGGCATTGTACTTCCCATTTCCAGGACTCAAGTCCGACTATATGAAAATAACCGGTTTCCCTGAATCCCTTCACTAAATATTACCCTGCTCACACTCCAACAGATCATCAGGTCCCAAGTACCATTCGTCTCCATTCACTCCTATCTAACACGCTCACGCACACTTGCTGGAAGCCCAAGCCCCTTGCCCACAAAACCTCCTTTACCGCCTCTCTCCAACCCTTTCGAGGACGACCCCTACCCCGCCTTCCTTCCCCTATAGATTTATATGCTTTCCATGTCATTCTACTTTGATCCATTCTCTCTAAATGACCAAACCACCTCAACAACCCCTCTTCTGCCCTCTGACTAATACTTTTATTAACTCCACACCTTTTCCTAATTTCCACACTCCGAATTTTCTGCATAATATTTACACCACACATTGCCCTTAGACAGGACATCTCCACTGCCTCCAACCGTCTCCTTGCTGCTGCATTGACCACCTCCATAGATAACGTTTTTTGACTCCACATATACCTCAACGCACCACTCACCTTTTTTCCCTCATCAATTCTATGATTAACCTCATCCTTCATAAATCCATCCGCCGACACGTCAACTCCCAAGTATCTGAAAACATTCACTTCTTCCATATTCCTCCTCCCCAATTTGATATCCAATTTTTTTTTTATCTAAATCATTTGATACCCTCATCACCTTACTCTTTTCTATGTTCACTTTCAACTTTCTACTTTTACACACATTCCCAAACTCATCCACTAACCTTTGCAATTTTTCTTTAGAATCTCCCATAAGCACAGTATCATCAGCAAAAAGTAACTGTGTCAATTCCCATTTTGAATTTGATTCCCCAAAATTTAATCCCACCCCTCTCCCGAACACCCTAGCATTTACTTCCTTTACAACCCCATCTATAAATATATTGAACAACCATGGTGACATTACACATCCCTGTCTAAGACCTACTTTTACCGGGAAGTAGTCTCCCTCTCTTCTACACACCCTAATCTGAGCCTCACTATCCTCATAAAAACTCTTTACAGCATTTAATAACTTACCACCTATTCCATATACTTGCAACATCTGCCACATTGCTCCTCTATCCACTCTATCATATGCCTTCTCTAAATCCATAAATGCAATAAAAACTTCCCTACCTTTATCTAAATACTGTTCACATATATGCTTCAATGTAAACACTTGATCTACACATCCCCTACCCACTCTGAAACCTCATTGCTCATCCGCAATCCTACATTCTGTCTTACCTCTAATTCTTTCAGTTATAACCCTACCGTACACTTTTCCTGGTATACTCAGTAAACTTATTCCTCTATAATTTTTACAGTCTCTCTTGTCCCCTTTCCCTTTATATAAAGGGACTATACATGCTCTCCGCCAATCCCTAGGTACCTTCCCCTCTTTCATACATTTATTAAACAAAAGTACCAACCACTCCAACACTATATCCCCCCCTGCTTTTAACATTTCTGTCATGATCCCATCAGTTCCAGCTGCTTTACCCCCTTTCATTCTATGTAATGCTGCACGTACCTCCCCCACACTTACATTCTGCTCTTCTTCACTCCTAAAAGATGGTATACCTCCCTGACCAGTGCATGAAATTACTGCCTCTCTTTCTTCCTTAACATTTAGAAGTTCCTCAAAATATTCTCGCCATCTACCTAATACCTCCATCTCCCCATCTACTAACTCCCCTACTCTGTTTTTAACTGACAAATCCATACGTTCCCTAGGCTTTCTTAACTTGTTTAACTCACTCCAAAATTTTTTCTTATTTTCATTAAAATTTCTTGACAGTGCCTCTCCCACTCTATCATCTGCTCTCCTTTTGCACTCTCTCACCACTCTCTTTACCTTTCTTTTACTCTCCATATACTCTGCTCTTCTTATAACACTTCTGCTTTGTAAAAACCTCTCATAAGCTACCTTTTTCTCTTTTATCACACCCTTTACTTCATCATTCCACCAATCACTCCTCTTTCCTCCTGCCCCCACCCTCCTATAACCACAAACTTCTGCCTCACATTCTAATACTGCATTTTTAAAACTATTCCAACCCTCTTCAACCCCCCCACTACTTATCTTTGCACTAGCCCACCTTTCTGTCAATAGTCGTTTATATCTCACCCGAACTTCCTCCTCCCTTAGTTTATACACTTTCACCTCCCTCTTACTTGTTGTTGCCACCTTCCTCTTTTCCCATCTACCTCTTACTCGAACTGTAGCTACAACTAAATAATGATCCGATATATCAGTTGCCCCTCTATAAACATGCACATCCTGGAGCCTACCCATCAACCTTTTATCCACCAATACATAATCTAATAAACTACTTTCATTACGTGCTACATCATACCTTGTATATTTATTTATCCTCTTTTTCATAAAATATGTATTACTTATTACCAAATCTCTTTCTACACATAGCTCAATTAAAGGCTCCCTATTTACATTTACCCCTGGCACCCCAAATTTACCTACTACTCCCTCTATAACATTTTTACCCACTTTAGCATTGAAATCCCCAACCACCATTACTCTCACACTTGATTCAAAACTCCCCATGCATTCACTCAACATTTCCCAAAATCTCTCTCTCTCCTCTACACTTCTCTCTTCTCCAGGTGCATACACGCTTATTATAACCCACTTTTCACATCCAATCTTTATTTTACTCCACATAATCCTTGAATTTATACATTTGTAGTCCTTCTTTTCCTGCCATAGCTTATCCTTCAACATTATTGCTACTCCTTCTGTAGCTCTAACTCTATTTGAAACCCCTGACCTAATCCCATTTATTCCTCTCCATTGAAACTCTCCCACCCCCTTCAGCTTTGTTTCACTTAAAGCCAGGACATCCAGTTTCTTCTCATTCATAACATCCACAATCGTCTCTTTCTTATCATTTGCACAACATCCACGCACATTGACTTCCCACTTTGACAATTTTCTTCTTATTCTTTTTAGTAATCTTTACAGGAAAAGGGGTTACTAGCCCATTGTTCCTGGCATTTTAGTTGACTTTTACAACACGCATGGCTTACGGAGGAAAGATTCTTATTCCACTTCCCCATGGATATAAAAGGAAAAGTAATAAGACCAAGAACTATTAAGATAAAATCAAAGAAAACTCAGATGAGTGTGTATATATTTTGGTACAGGTAATAAGAATTAGAGTACGTACATATATTACATATTAGGTCAGGAGACTGATTATATCTTCTTTGATTAATGGGTTAGAACTGTCTAGCTACAATATTGAGACTGGTGCCTCATTGCTTCAGACTGAACTGAGACGTGTGTACACACAACTTGAGATTCTTCGCACCAAGACCATGAGGAAGGACAATCCCCACATCTCCAAGAGACGCGGAGGACGTAAAGCCACTCACAGAAAGTTCTCACTACAGGTCAGTCAACATAACAATCTATGTTCACCTGCCACTGTATAAACCAGACATTTATCAAATGGAGGTGTGATTATATGTTTAGTGAAAAAATGTGCCATCCTTAAAAGTAGAAATCTGGTATTGTATGTTTGTACAATGGTGATCATAACTAATATAGATGCTCTTAGCCCATCTTATGTTCACACAGTTACTCATCCAGTTACTTTTCACACCCAAAGGCACGTTAACTTGACTTAGTGAAATATGCATCAATAACACCACACCAATATAGTGTGTGTACTTGAAACTACATATTTGATATAGTCTCCAAGAAAATCAGTACGTACTTGTAAGTAGACTTTAGGATTTTTATTCATTGTTGGAAGACTGCGATAATTACCCCTTGAAAAATATGATGGGAGAAGTTGGCAGTACAGTACAGTAGGAGAAAGAAAAAATGTACAATAGGACCCCTGTATCCACAGATTCAGTATCTGTGGTTTCAGTTATACACAGTATACTGTGGCCTAAAAATACCCTTTGTTTTGCTTAATAATGGCCCCAAAGTGCAAAAGTAGTGATAGTGGCAGCTGCTCAAAGCCTAAGAGAAGCTGTGAAATGCTTCCCATCAGTAAAAAAGTGCTAATTCTAGACTTATTTTGCATAAATTGTCAATTAAAACTTTATCATAGGTATGTATATAAACAAAAAATGACTTGTATATAGGGTTCGCTACTATCCATGGTTTCAGGTATTAATGGTAGGTCTTGGAATGTATCCCCTGTAGATACAAGGAGACTACTGTATTACAAAACTCACTTGGAAAATTTTTTTTAGATATAATTTAAATTTTACAGGAAAATAAAAGCAGATATAGAAACCTAATTGTCTCTTCCTATTTAAAAAAAAAATACCAAAGTTCATTTGAGCACTTTTGTTTTTCATGGAAAAAATCGCACATTTTGAGAACTAACCAGGTGACAAAAAATGCTTTGAATACTATTATTTTGCCTAGTGATTACATAAGCAAAAGGCATAAAAAAATTATTTGAAAAAATAATCACACTAAATGTTTCCTGAAGATTTTGGGGTCACTGCCCTGGTCTCAGACCAGGCCTCATGGGAAATTTTGAGGGTAAGGTAACACAACTGATAAAATACTTTTATTATGGTACTATTGTAAATTACTGTACATTCTGCTGATAATTCATACACAATACTAATAAATTTTTAATTGAGTAAGAAAAGATTAAAACCTGTTTTAATGTCAATGGAAAGTATGAAACTTTATCATTAATACTTAAACTGTCCAAACGTAGATCTGTTTTCACTGCCAGCACTCCAAATATTTTGGAAAAAAAAATTTAAATTAAAGAGGGCAATTTTCTGTGTGTAATAAGACAAAAAAAAAAAAATTTAGCATCAGTACTTAGCGAGATATAGGACTACAAAGTTGGCGCTGGATGCTCACTTGATGGCAACATGGAGTTCTGCCACTTGCAGAATTGTTGCCGATATATCTTTTTTCTCTCTTTTTTTTTTTTTTAATTCATATAATTTTTTTTTTCATAGTTACAAATTGTAGTAGTTCTTGTGATTCCATAGCCAATGTTTGTTCTGACACTAATACACTTACAACCGAGTTCGGTTCCGAGAAACCGGTCGTAAGTCAAAATGGTCATAAGTCGAACTTTACTACTGAATATCAACAAAACATTTTTGTAATGACTATTTTATTGTTTTATTTTGGTATTTCATGTTTTACTTTACTTTTTATGTTGTTAGTACTGTATTTTATACCATAAGGTTTAGGATAAACACTGTGTACAACACAAATAGTTGTTTATTTCCCAGAAATTTGGCATAAAAAACACAGTCGTAAGTCGGATGGTAGATGTATTAGGTGCTTAACCCTTTGACTGTTTTGGTCGTATATATACGTCTTACGTGCCACTGTTTTGGACGTATTAATACGCATAAATTCTAGCGGCTTCAAATCAAGCAGGAGAAAGCTGGTAGGCCCACATGTGAGAGAATGGATCTGTGTGGTCAGTGTGCACCACATAAAAAAATCCTGCAGCACGCAGTGCATAATGAGAAAAAAAAACTGACCGTTTTTTTTTAATTAAAATGCCGAATTTGAGGTGTATTTTCATATAGTATTTATCATTGTATTCTCATTTTCATGGTCTCGCGTGATAAAATGGAAAACATATTACAGAAATAGAGATGATTTTGATTAGTTTCACGATGAAAACGACACTGAAATTGAGCTCAAAGTAGCGGAAATGTTCGATTTTTACCAATGTTCAGGGGCAAGCAAATCACACCACACGCCCAATACACGTCAACTGGGGAGTCTAATATTCTTTCACTAGTGCACTGATATTATTTATACCATTTTTACAATAATGCAGTAGTCTGCATAACAGTAATTTTTTCATTTTTTGTATGAATAAAAAATCAAAATAGAAAGCAATAGTAATTAATATAAGAGGGGCCTAGAGACGTGACTAATGAACAGAGGATATGTTATTTTAGTGCCAAGAATGTCTACATTGTTTATTCTGTGTTTAATGAGATTATTTGGTGATGCTGCAAGCGGGGTGTGAATTATACATCTTCGGAGGCTTCTTATTTTATTTGCAAAGTCGTGGTGGGTACACAGGCTTGTGTGTTGTGCCCATGGCCCGGGCAGGGCCATCCCACGAGAGAGCTACTAGTACAGTGGACCCCCGCATACCGATGGCATCACATAACGATTAATCCGCATACCGCTTGCTTTAATTGCAAAAATTTTGCCTCGCATACCGCTTAAAAACCCGCTCACCGATTTTCGTCCGAGACGCGTCCAATGTGCGGCCTGAGCCACGCTCACATGTTCCGCCAGTGGCATTGTTTACCAGCCAGCCTCCGCGGTAACATCCAAGCATACAATCGGAATATTTCGTATTATTACAGTATTTTCGGTGCTTTTTCTGTAAAATAAGTGACCATGGGCCCCAAGAAAGCTTCTAGTGCCAACCCTACAGCAATAAGGGTGAGAATTACAATAGAGATGAAGAAAAAGATCATTGATAAGTATGAAAGTGGAGTGCGTGTCTCCGAGCTGGCCAGGTTGTACATGTATAATAAACCCCAATCAACCATCGCTACTGTAGCATCGTCTGTTGCTGCTGTACCACCGTCAGCTGCTGCTGTAGCATCGTCTGCTGCTGCTGTAGCATCGTCTGTTGCTGCTGTACCACCGTCAGCTGCTGCTGCTGTAGCATCGTCTGCTGCTGCTGTACCACCGTTAGCTGCTGCTGCTGCACCGTTGTTGGTGTGGCTTATTGAGAATACCAAGAAACAATTAACCCCAGAGGATTTGCCACCCAGGATAACCCAAAAAAGTCAGTGTCATCGAAGACTGTCTAACTTATTTCCATTGGGGTCCTTAATCTTGTCTCCCAGGATGCAACCCACACCAGTCAACTAACACCCAGGTGAACAGGGAAAAATGACTGGAACTAGTGCTCATATTGGTGAATTTAAAGCCAGCAAAGGTTGGTTTGAGAGATTTAAGAATCGTAGTGACATACACAGTGTGATAAGGCCTGTTCTGGAAGAAAATACCAAACAGGACCTACAGTACTCAGGAGGAAAAGGCACTCCCAGGACACAGTGTCTCATCAGTCATTGCTGCATCTTCAATAAAGGTAAGTGTCATTTATTCTTCATTTAGTAGAGTAGTACATGCACAATATATATCGTGCATGTACTATACTATTGTGCATGTATCCTTCTCTTTGTGTGTAGGAAAATGTATATTTCATGTGGTAAAAATTTTTTTTCATACTTTTGGGTGTCTTGCACGGATTAATTTGATTTCCATTATTTCTTATGGGGAATATTCGTTCGCATACCGATTATTTCGCATAACAATGACCCCTCTTGCACGGATTAAAATCGGTATGCGGGGGTCCACTGTACTTGTGTCTTCCTGCTAGGCCGCTGTGTGAGTGAGAGTGTGGGACCAGCTTCCCACAGACCTGTACAGGCCCAGAGGGCAGCACTTGAGTGGCGCGAAATATGAACTAAGCTGGCAGACAGCATGGGCTGTCTGTGCAGAGTACAGGCTGTCTACATACGCTCGGCCACCTGCCATATGGTCGTCCCGACCATGTCTGGCGGTAAAAAAAACTCGCTCTCTCTCTCGTAGGAACAGGACACAGGACACAAAATAAAAACATATATATACATATGGACATGGGGGAAAAAAAAACATGTGGGGTGTGCTAAACATCGTGGTCATAGGCAGTGAGCGTCGATGGGCATCACTGCACGCCTTCCTGCGTCTGAACAGATACTGCAACACAGGAGACATCGCTGCGGCTGAGCTGTGATGTAACAGGTTACGGTCTCCTCTAGAACGGTGAAGCAGACATCGTAGGAGTTGCTGCAGGTTTTCACTCAACCTGGGGCACAACATGCTGGTGCCCTCGAGTGAGGTGTCGACAAAACTCAGCAACTGGGCAGGACTTCTGGCAAGCAACTCGGGAGGACATTTCTCGACTGGTACTGTCGCTGGGCTGTCACTGCCGGCGAGCGTGGAGCGAGTCGTGGCAGAGACGACTGGGCGAAACATCATACACCAGACTGCAGTGAGCGAGCTAGCAGTCGAAGTGACATCATCTTCGTGCAGGAGCTCACTGAAGCTTGACATGAGGCTGACACAGCGCCTGCCGACAGGGCTAACTGCGGCTTGATGAGTGTCATTCTCTCGGCAGTTGGAGTTATAGCAGAGGTTAGTCTAAGCGTCCCCAGACTTGTTTCTCTACATATAACTGCATTCTGGAGGTGAAGTGAAACAAATCTCGATGGGAATCGTAGCAGGTACGATTCTGCAGAACATCACGAGCATAAGAGCTTTCTGTACAAGGGGGCTCGGGCTCAGAGCTGACTGATAACAGCTGTCAAACGCACTGGTCACATCGGGTGACTTAGCACAGTGGTACTCAGGTCTGGCTCAGACCACTGGACACACGGAAAACTTTAAACACACCCGGGGTACAACATGGCTTAGACTAGCAAATGATGCTTTTTGAGCACAAAATTGACACTGTCATACAATAACATATGAGAACACTGACCGAGAGGAATTAATTAACACACGACATATATCTTCTCTCAATCTTCTCGACAATACTGAAATAATTACTAGAACACTTGATGTGACATCATGTGATGTCAGGCGTGACGTCATGAAGTCGGGCAGCATTGTGGGTGACGTCAGTGTGATGCGGGCAGCAGACCACAGCATGAGGCCTCGGACATCTGGCTTGGTAATCCACGTGGCTTGCTGATCCACATGGCTTCGAGTGATCTACATGGCATGCTGATCCTCGTAGCTTCGAGTGGCCTCGGGCACTCGAATACACAGCTCTGGCAATGAATTCACATGGAAAATAGCAGAAAACACAGCAGAGGGAGTGAGTAGTGGTGAGTGTGTGGTAGTGTGGTGGCGAGGAGCATGGGTGAGTGTACGGCGAGGGAGGATCTGGCCACTTCCTCCTCTCAAACCCAAAACACGGCGAAACGCACACTGGACGCAGAAATCACCACAAAACTTGCCTCTGGCTTGCTGAAACAGCTGTGCTGAGCTGAACAACAACAGCAACATACGAGTGGTGCTGAACACGTGACTTGAGAAACAGCGTGGGACGCTGTAGCATGGGGTCACTGGGACGCCACTTACAATTCTCGAAGAAATTCAGCAAATTTCGGCTAGATCCTGCTTGTACTTGTGTCTGGATGCTGAAACGTGCAGACACGACATCAGGATAACTCGTTGAGAGACGGATGCTTCTTGCATGGGGTGATGAAGTAAAGATGACTTCATCCCTTCCTCTCTCCGGGCAAACACAACGGCTGCGACCACCGCTGCTACCAATGTGAACGGGTTTATTGGTATTGCTGAAAAGCGGGGTGTGAATTATACATCTTCGGAGGCTTCTTACTTTATTTGCTAAGTCGTGGTGGGTACACAGGCTTGTGTATTGTGCCCATGGCCCAGGCAGGGCCATCCCACGAGAGAGAGCTACTAGTACTTGTGTCTTCCTGCTAGGCCGCTGTGTGAGTGTGTGTGTGGGACCAGCTTCCCACAGACCTGGACAGGCCCAGAGGGCAGCACTTGAGTGGCGCAAAATATGAACTAAGCTGGCAGACAGCATGGGCTGTCTGTGCAGACAGTACAGGCTGTCTACATCTGGACCCTATTTTGAAATTGGCATCTTTTTTAATTTGTGTGAAATTGGCCAAATTGCCAATTTCTGACCACTTTATTGGGTAGTTCAAATCGGTAAATGGGCAGTTTCTTGTACTCAACTGATAGAAAAAATGGAGTTCTAAAGAAATAGCTATGAGTTTGGTCAACTGGAACAACGGAATTGGCCAAAAACAGGGCTCAAAGTCGGTGAAATCACCAATGCGTATGTCGTCACGACTGCTAGCTTCGTGGGAGCATAATTCCATGAGTTTTCGACCAAATTTCGTACTTTTGGTGTCATTACCATCGGGAAAAGATTCTCTATCATTTCATAAGAATTTTTTTTTTTTTCCAAAAAATTTGCGACGTATAATGACAGTTTCAGAAAGGGGCTTGCGACAGTCAAAGGGTTAAATAGTACTCGGTCACAAACACACTGACAGGTGAACATTTTCACCTGCCTTGGTCACCTACTATTTTCTAGAAATATAGTGTTTATAGGTCCCAGCAATGTTTTAGACATGGAGTATATATGAAACTCCTTGAAGCAGCACTGTGTAAGACGAGTATCACTCCATTGCTGATAGTGCACTGCCTTGGCTTTGTTTTTCACTGTTACATACAAATATGTCTGTCTAGCTCTGTCTCTTCATCTCTGCTTATCTGCCTGTGTCTGTCTTCCTGTCTCTGCTTGTCTCTCTTTCTCTGTCTCAGAGAGCCACTCCTGAACTAACAGGTATTACACATGATGCAGAGTCATCACGTCTGATTCCTGAACAAGTGAAAATGCGTATTACTTGCCAGTCATGCTTATTATGCCTTATATCTACAAGTACAGTATAGCACTTTGTCTGGATTTTTTTGGATTATCTATTTATGTATACCTGTGAGGTAGAGACAGAGATAGAGGTAGTCAATCAACCACCCTGCCAGTCAAACACGTATTACCCATGTTCCAGAATCATTTCTTTTCTTAGGGCATAGGTTATAAGACATTCTTACAGGACAGGATGTTGCACATGGGTTATTATTGAGGTTTTTGATATTTCCTCAACCACTTGTGGCCACATCCATCTCAGTGAATCCCTGTTGTTTGCCATGCTATTTGCTCTAGCTAGCACTTAATTAAACTGGTGCTCTCACAAGGTACTAAGTGGTCCCAGATTTTTTTTTAATACTGCACACACACACAGTGTTAAGACCCATTCTATACTGACCAGGCATCTAAGGCCAATCGTGCCAAATTTAAATGTAGGAAAAATAAAACGTAGATCTATGTTTGGAGCACTAGCAGTACAAACGTAGATCTACATTTGGACAGTTTAAGGGTTAAACGTTAAATCTGGGTTATGATTTCTGGCGACTCGCATTTGGCATAAGATATTGTGAGGTGTTAATTTAACATTTTTAAACTGTTTATACACATTGTACTCTTATTGACTTTGGATTGTTTACACATTTTCCTTTTGGCATATTTTTTTATGAAGATTATTATGCAATTTAAACTTACTGATTACTTTTAAAAGTTATTTTTACAGTTTTCCGTGCTTTTGGATTTGTACGAATTGTATAATTAAGACATTTTATTTTACAGAGTCGCAAAGGAAGTCGAGAAAAGGTACTTATTTCCCCAATGTTATACGTAATTTTGTAATACAGTAAATTCTATATCTGGCAGGAGTAAGAGACAGAGGTGAATGTAGGAAAAGTGCATTAAGCAGTAGGTGGAATGAAAGGAGGTAAAGCAGCTGGAACAGATGAGATTAAGATTGAGATACTAAAAGTAGGTGGGGACCAGAATGTAAGAATTATTGGGAAATAAGCCTGAGTATACAAGCAAGTTTATGGTAAAATTATTGAGCAGGGTGTAAGACAGAAAGTAGAATTTCATAGAAAGAAGTAGGATTTAAGATGTGATGTGTAGGCAAAGTGTTTACATTGAAAAATATAAATGAACAGTACTCAAAGGTAAGAAACTGAGTCCTATATTTATGGATAGGGAAATAATGTGACAGATTACTAAAAGCCACAAAAAGCTCTGTATATAAATGAAGGCTCAAGTTATTGTAAGTAGGAGAGAATGGAACTATTTTTCCATTAACCTTAAACAAGGATATGTGATGTCACTATGGCTGTTTAACATATTTATAGATGAGATTATGAAAGAACTAAATGTTGGTCTTTGCTAGTGACCTAGTTCTTTTGGGAAACCTGAAGAAAAGTTACAAAGATTGGTGGAGGAGTTTAGGAGAATGAGCAAAAGATGGAAAATAAAAGTGAACATAGAAAAGAACAAGATGATGAGAGTAACAGAAAAGTATAGGCAATGGAAGTATATTGGAAATAAATACGTTTAGATATTTCAGAGTAGACATATCAGATGGGTCAATGAAAAATGACAATCAGAATAAACAAGGGGAAGAAAGGTAGATGATATATTAAGCATCTGTGGAAAGAAAGAAGCTTAAGAGGCAAAAAAGGAGAAATATAATGCATTCTAGTGGTACCAACACTTTCAGGGAGAGTTTGAAAGTTTCAGCAATGAGGCTAGAGGCAGTAATGTTTAGTATGAATATCATGCAAAGCATAGAAATTAGAATACTGTAGGGTTACCAAAGGTACAATTCAGAGTACCGAGGTGGTGGTTGTCGAGATGGTTTGGATATTTGGAGAGGATGGAGCAAAATAGGATGACCAAGGGGTGTATATATGCGAGGTAGAAGGAAGGTGGTAAGAATTTTCCCAGTTACTGTTGGGACTAAAGGAAGATTTGGGTGCTAGGAGCTTGAGCATCCAGCAGATATGTGAAAATGTTACATCAGAAGAAGTGCTAGGAGTACTGAGTGACCTATGCACTGTCACTACTGCTACACTGGAATGAGAGAAGGAAAGTGAATTTCATAGTTGATGTGCCGTTGAAGTGTGAGCAGAGTGACATCTATAAAGGGATTAGAGGGAAACCGGTTAGCCAGACTCTAGTCCAAGAGGTGGGAAGTGTAGTGCCTTCACTGTAAAACAGGTGGGGTTATTGAGATTTTAGTGCTTCTGGCAAGATGGCTATTGAATGGATGATTAATAGTGAAGGTTTCTTACATTTTGGGTATCTCACTACCTTTGCAGGAAATGGCTGGCAATTAAAGAAAATACATAAGTATTACTTGACACAACTTCCAAAACCAGGTCAGCTGAGATGGATAGATATTGAATTTCAACATTATTGGTCATTGGAAATTTCTTATACATACATGAAACCAATTGTGGAAAATGTCTTGAATCATAGTGTACCCATTATCTCAATACATAAATGTATGTAAATGAAAATTTTAATAAAATCAGATGCTCCTGGATCAAATTGAGTATTGTAAAATACTCAATGGATGCAGGTCCTTTACCCCTAAGGAGTTGGTTCTGGTGATGCTCTTAGGCAGCATTTCTTTATGGGATAAGTTCTTAGTCGTGATCTTTTCACCCATCTTGGTAAACACTCCCTATTAAGCATGGCGTTTTTATAAAAATAAGTTTGTGAATATGATGGTACCCTTCTCCACTTATCTGTTATGTGCCCCTGCAATTTTTTGACTGTCTACAGGATGGGTACTGGGAAAGGAGGGGGAAACTTGTAATTCCTTCATACATATATTCTGTATCTTGACAGTAATTTTTTCTCTACTCCAGTCATTTCACCGTCACCACCAACGCCCTCTACTCCACTCCCTGGAAGGCTGTGAGGGTGACATTAGCAAAACACCAGAAGAATCTGTATGTTCCATTGAAGGTCCCTCAGTTCTCTCTGTGTATAATGATGGTCCATCAGATATGGGAACCCCATCAATCCTGCAGAGATCATATAAATTATGAAAATATCATTCAAGGATGCATATGTCGTCCAACTCTGTAGAAGTCAGAGAACACCCACATATTTTGCTAACACTTGATTGTCAAGTAAAGCAAGAGGTGAATAGCTGTATAAGTGTGATGCATTTAAACACACTGTGTGCCACAGACTAGGCATACACACTACATGTTTGTACAAATAACAGCTTGTTAGTAAAATATGGGGAAATTGCTTATATTTATTCTTAAAAAGTTTATACAGTATAAATTGCAAATTTTGAATACATTTAAATAATTGAGAATTAATATTGAGGAAATAATTCCCAAAACAAAATAGTGAAGTTGTATGATGGTAATTGAAGTTTCCAAGTAATCAAAGAGTGAACCTTGGCTACAAGCTAACCTAGCAACATAGCTTTAACATTGTTAATACATTTCGTAACTGTCAGTATTTTTATAAATCAATTATTTTTCATTCTCTGAACAGTATCAAAAGTATTGTATGGATTCCTTGTTATTAGATTTGTTTAGGTGGAAATATTTACTAAAATTTTAATCTTTTATATTTCTCCCTAAAACTGATTTGGCAGGCAGTCTTTTCTATTGATTTACACATGTATATACACTTTGAGTTGTTCATGCAAAAAATAGTTATTTTAATGTTGTAGATGTAAGAAGTTGTTTGAACATTGTTGGACTATGTCTTTAGAAAGTACTTAATGTAAAATATAGCTGCATCTTTTGTAAAGATTTCTTGTTATATATATTTTTATGTTACAGTGCATAGCTACTTGTCAGATGCAGGAGATATAAATTTAATCTAAAGTGTAGGGGTTATACAGTGTTTGGAGGAATAGAAGGCAGTTTAGTTTGATCCAAGAAAAGAGATGATAGTTCCCACTCTTTGGATCACATACCCTTGCCAGCATATAGAGGCCTTCCTTGAGGGGAGAGATTGTGTAGAAGTGCCTCGAGGGAGATGCCAGCAAAGGGGCTCTTGATTAAGCTGACCTATCCTCATCCTTGGCTCAAATGTGATTGCTTCTAATATCCATAAGTGCTGTATGACCCCTACAAATTTAGTGCACACCCTGCCCCCCCCCCCCACAAATGTAATGTGTTGTATTCCTTCCCCTCCCAACCCCTCAACAGTAGCCATCTGACTAATATAACTTGTTCTGGTGGGGTGAGTTAATACTTGATAAGTCTGTATTTCAAGTTGCAGTTTGTGGCCAATATAAATCTGAAATGAATGAATCTTCTGGTTAGGGCACGCCTCACCCTTTGTAGCTTGATTGGTAGAGAACCAAACTGGTAAGCTGCTGCCAGATGGCAAGTTTGAATCTTTGCACTGCAACTGAATTATTCTGTACACCTCTTCCCCCCTAAACACACACACTCTTGTATACCTACATTAGGTGTTGTAAATATACACGTACATAAAAAGATCCTACAGAAAACAAGACCTCTTACCATAACTGTTTTAAATATATAATGCTGAAATGTATAAACGTTCCTCACCTAAACTAGTACTTCATATGATTACCCTTTCTCTTGATGCACTCTATATATTTCCTAGGCACTGCCACACCACCTTAATGGCACTCGAGATTTTGGGACACTTTCATGCCACAAAGCTGACACTTAATAAATTTCCAAACGTTCTCTATTGGATTTGAGTTCAGTGTGTCTCCAGGCCAGTCATTAAAGTACAGAAAAAATCACAACAATTTAGCCAGTTCTTTATCTTTGGCAGTATGGCAAGGGTCATTGTCTTCCATACAAAAATTGCACTGGCACTTCTTGAATCTGTTAGGCATATAGTCTGCATATTTATGATACCTACTGTGCGTGCTTGCATGCTGATTCAGAAATATCTGATTTAGTCCTATCTGTGGAGACTTTGAGAGGTGAAAAACTATATAATCATTAACTGGTTGTATGAGGAAGAGATGAGCATTAATTGGGGGGATATGATGGCCTGGAATTTGCATGTTAAATGAGCAGGAGCCAGTTTTTGAAGTAGGGAAACAGTCCTAAGTTTTTTGGCTATTTGAGAAATTATGATTTGGGAAAGATCAAGGCATCACTGTATTATGTAATATTGTACAGTACAGGATGACCTCACATGGAGTTACATTCCTGAAATCGTCACTTTATGTAATATGCATAACATGTGGAAAAATAGGGTTGGGTTCAGTACCTCTAACAAAGTCATAAAAATTTCAAGTGTTTATTTCAACAAAAACAATAAGTTTTGACAAAATACAATCTAGATGTTGCTTGTTGATCTAGAAATGTATGTGTACTGAAAAGCCTAAATAAAAGCTAACTTAGTTAACTTCTTTAAAGACAGTGGGAAGCTGATGCTTGATGCAGTAAACCACTTACAGATAGTCGTCGACTTATGACCATAAATATTTGTACACCTGGTAGCACAAATGAGGTTGTATGATAGTGATTCTGCTCATCAACAGCATCATGCACACATCTACTCACATCTTTCTCTGTTTTTTACTAGCTTCAGTGTCATGCACATTTTAAAGAAAAAAGGATATAAAGGTTATAAAATACAGCCTCTCCTCACTTAACGACGGAGTTACATTCTTAAGACCACGTCGGTAAATGAATTCGTAAATAAGTGAGGAGCATACTATAATGGTAGTGGGTTTGTGTCAGCAATCTTTGATATTGTTTTAATGTCACCTTTGCACCATTTATAACATTTCTGGCATATTTTTAAATGTTTATACCGTAGTGTACTGTATATTGTAATAAACATTTTATTTAGGTATGCATACTGGTCAGTGTCCATCGTAAGTCCGAGGCGTCAGTAAACGAGTACGTTGCTAAGAGAGGAAAGGCTGTACGTAATTACAATACCTACTCGACTTAGACCAGTCAGTTGGAACCTAACATGGTTGAAAGTCGATGATTATCTGTACTCCTTCCAAAGAAAATGGGCATAGCACACCTTACAGAGAAAACAGACAAGGCTAATACATCACCAGTGACCATTATAAACTTAACACATAATATCAGTATTAAATATTAAAAAAGTAACATGAAAGAGGTTCACCCTACCTTAAATTTGTTTCCCTTGCTGATGAAGCAGTGTTTGGAGTTGGTTATGTACCTCACTGAACATTATTATAATCAACTTAAGCACTAAACCCAAAAGGGCCATACAGATCACTGCACAGTAGATGGCTGTGTGTTTTTCTGTTTTATCAACTAACTCGTATCACATGATGCCATCACGTGATTTACTATACAAATTTCTCATTTATAATAGTTAAGAATTTTATACCTTAATCCCATTCAACTATTTTAACTATCCAATAAAGTGAACAGAAATTAGAAATTTGGTTAATTTCACACAAAATTAAAAATATGCCAGTATAAAAATAATTGAAAATAAATGTACACTCCTAGAACTAAAACAATATTTCCTCTGTTCATTAGTCATGTCCACAGGCCTTTCCTACATTACACTTGCTTTCCATTTTGAATTCTTATTCACACAAACAACAGAAGATTTACTCTATTCCTCAGATAATGATATACAGCCCGGAAAGACTGTTCATCGTTTACAGTATCCCAATAATTGAATCAACCTTATTAAAAACCCATAAAACAGACTTGGGGTTGTGGGGAGGGGGTGCCGTACCTATCCTCTGGAATATCGACAAAAATTTAATATTTTCATTACTTTGAGCTCACTACTTCCAGTCCTGAAATCAATCAAAATCATCTATACTTCAGTAATATGTCTTCCATTCTGTCATATATCAACAAACTGCCAGTAAAACCATAAAAAGCATCAAAAAATACACCACAAAGTCATTTTAAACCATACATACAGTCATAGTTTTGTTTTTCCCATCTTGCACTGTGTGGGGGAGGAATTTTTTATTTTTTAATATGGTGTACACTCGACATAGACCCATTCTCTCATATCTATCCCAAAATTTACTGCTCACAGCTTATTCGAGCGAGCTGAAATTATAACGTAGAACTACGTGATGGACCCTGAGCTCAAAGCCATAATACTACAAGACGGCCATCAAAAGGGTTAAATGCCTTGTTTTACTGCTTGTTGATAAAGAAGTGTCTGGATGTTATTAAAGAAGTGTTTGGAGATGTTTATGGGAGCAGTTGGTGGCTATGAGCCATCTTGTCATATTTTTATCCAGTGATGCCTCATACATTGAATCAGCTGACAGCAAACAATTGACAATACAAATTTTTTGTTTATAATACCGTAGTGACAGACATTTATTTTATCTTTCTTTAAATTCTTTGCTCTCTTGCATATTGATGTAGAGGTGTTTGAAGATTGTTATGCATAGCTCGTCAGCACAAAAGACTGTTGTGGGTCATCTGTTTTGTTGGCCGATGCCACTCGTTTCATCACATGAGGCCATCACACATTTCACTACATGATTCTCTCGTTTATAATAGAAACAATAAAGAATTTTATCCTACCTCAAATTCTTTGTTCTCTTGCTTGTTGATAAATAAGTGCAATATATGGCTGAGCCATCTGTTTATGTTTAATCATCCAGTTTTCCCCAGCCATATAAATCTGAACAAAAAAAATTTCATGCCTAAGGCACTTTTTTATTTTTTGAAAACCCAGGCAAAACTGAGTTTTAATATAAAAATTAATATTATATTATAATAAAAAAGAAGCGCTAAGCCACAAGGGCTATACAGCGTTGCAGGGTAGGGAAGGAAGCAAGGGTATTGGATGGCAGAAGGGAGGAGGGATGATCAGTAGGTTACAGAAAACAGCGGGGCAGGGGATAGTACGGGTGTAGAGGGTAGCAAGAGTTTGAAGTAGAAAGGGCTGAAGGTATCAGAATTTGTGAAGTAAGTCGGTTGTTGTCAAAAAGTCAATGAGAGAGTCTGGATGAAAGGTGGGTCCATCAGCGAGAAGGGAAGGTAGAGAGAGAGCAGCAGAGCGAAGACGACGACGGAGTAAATTCTGCGTGCTCGTGATAAAGTGGGCAGTCCAACAGAATGTGGCTGACTGATAATGGAACTTGGCAACTCTCACAGAGAGGAGCAGGGCGCCTCTCCATGAGATATCCATGAGTAAGACGAGTATGGCCAATGCGAAGACGGGAGAGAGTAGTCTCCCAACCTCGACACTGGTGATAAGAAGACTGCCAGTAACCTATACTCGGTTTAATAGATTGAAGTTTGTTGCCGAGCATAGTAGACCAACGTTGTTGCCAACGGGTGTGAAGTTGGGAAGATATTGCAGCAAAATAGTCCGTAAATGGAATACCTCTACATGAAACTGGTAGGTCATGTACTGCTGACCGCGCAGCAGTGTCTGCCTGTTCATTGCCCTGTACGTCAACATGACCAGGGACCCAACAAAAAACAATATCTTTATGCTTGGTAAAGATACGGCGTAGCCAAAGTTGGATATGGAGGAAAAAGGGGTGAGGTGTATCAAATTTCTGTATAGCCTGTAAAGCACTAAGGGAGTCTGAGACAACCACAAATGATGACACAGGCATAGATGCAATACGGATAAGTGCTGTAAGGATGGCATACAATTCAGCAGTAAAAATACTAGCCGAAGATAGTAAATGCCCTTGTACGACGCTGTCCGGAAACATTGCTGCGAATCCTACGCCGTCAGAAGACTTAGAGCCATCTGTGTACACAGCAATGGCATGAGAATGAGAGTGAAAGTGGTCAAGAAAAAGAGCGGGAAGCGACCGTAGACAGTTGGGCTTTCGAGCAAGGGAGAGAGAAAGAACAGACTCGAACAGCTGGAACTTCCCAGGGGGGTAGGGAAAAGTGAGATGTTACATGTACATAGAAAGGTGGTAATTGAAGAGAAGACAAGAGCGAATGAAGGCGAAGAGAGAAGGGACGGAGTAAACAGGGGCGACGAACAAATAAAGAATGTCTACTAATATCAGTGACCATTCTATAAATGGAAGGATTGCGGAGATCATGAGAGCGTACATAGTAGCGAAGGCAATGGGCATCACGGCGATCGGATAAGGATGGAACGTTCGCTTCTGCATAGAGGCTCTCGACAGGGGAAGAGCGAAAAGCACCAAGGCATAAACGTAATCCTTGGTGATGAATGGGTTTAAGGCTAGAGAGAGTAGCAGGAGATGCCGCTGAATAGATCTCGTCACCATAATCAAGTTTCGATAAGATAAGGGTGGAAAGTAGGCGAAGGAGGGTTCGACGATCAGCTCCCCATGAAAGATGAGCAAGGGTTTTAAGAAGGTTCAGCCGGCTGTGACAAGTTGCCTTCAGAGAGGTAATGTGAAGTTTCCAGGATAACCTACGATCAAAGAGTAGGCCCAGAAACTTGACTGTATCACGTTCAGGGATACGGGAGCCATAGAGGTACAAAGGATGATCAGAGATGACAGAGCGTCTAGTGAAAGTAATTTGGTGGGTTTTAGTGCTGGAAAATTTAAACCCACGTGTGGTGGCCCAATTGGAAACACGGTCGACTGCAGGCTGGAGAGAAACTGTAATAAGGTGACAGTCAGCGCCTGCACAGGCAATAGCAAAGTCATCAACATAGAGTGATGACCAAATATTTGATGGAAGACTAGAGGCCAAATCATTAATAGCAAGGAGAAAAAGTGTTGTGCTCAGATCACATCCCTGGGGGACACCTTCAGCTTGGATAAAGTCCGGGGAGAGCACATTATTAACCCGAACACGGAAATGCCTGTTAGTGAAAAAGTTCTTAAGGAAGGATGGTAGATTGCCTCGAAGGCCTAAGGAGTGGGCTTGGGCTAAAATATTATACCTCCAAGTTGTGTCATATGCCTTCTCAAGGTCAAAAAATATGGCAATAACTGAGTGGTTATTCGCAAAGGCATTACAAACATACGTATCCAAGCGTAGTAAGGGGTCTATGGTAGAACGTCCCTTACGAAAGCCATATTGACGAGTGGAGAGACTGTTGTTTGTCTCTAAATACCACACTAAACGTCTATTTACTAGGCGTTCCATCACTTTGTAAACTGCACTGGTAAGAGCAATGGGACGATAGTGGGAGGTTTCATGTCCCGTAGTGCCTGGTTTGCGGAAAGGGAGAACAATGGCGGATTTCCACAGCTGTGGAAGAACTCCTTGTGACCAAATAAGATTGTAAAGGCGTAATAGGACTGCAAGGGCTGACTGATGTAAATGTTGTAGCATACGAATATGAATGTCGTCGGGCCCCACTCCCGATGATCGGCAAGCGAGAGTGTTGCCTCCATTTTCTTGAAGTGTAAAAGGCACATTATACTGTTCTTCTCTGAGAGAAGAAAAGTCCAAGGGTGCTAACACTCTGGCAGACTTTGAGGAAAGAAATGACGGGAAATAGATGGAGTCCCTGAGAAATCGGACCAGATGATTGCCAATTTCATTGGCAACATCTAGTGGGTTTGCTATATCACCACCGGAAAACCCGCAGAAACAGGAGCGGGTCAGGAGAATATTTACCACTCATTTTTTCGTACTTTTTTCCAGACTGCACTCATAGAGGAAGCAGAGGTGATGGTGGAGACATAATCCCCGCCAGCAAGTGCGTTTAGCGTCACGGATGACACGGCAAGCGATCGCATGCTTTGCTTAAAATCAAGAAGTCTCTTTGGGGTTCTATTGTACCGGTACCTGCCCCATGCAGCGCGTTTCAAATGTACTTCCCACGAGCAAAAGCAGGAGATCACCAAGGCACGCATTTCTGAGAATGCCTGCCCGAAGTTTGGGGTATAGAATGAGAAGCTGCGGTTAAAACGGAGGATGAGAAGAGGTGTTAAAAGCTCATCGATGGAGGACGAAGAAGGAACCTCTCTAAAAACAGTAGGTGTGAGTAAAGGTTCCAATTTGCCTGATCAAATTTTCCAGCGTGGGGTGCGAAAAGGTGGTGAATATGAAGGAGAAGTAAGAATGATTGGGAAATGATCGCTGTCATGTAAGTCCGGGAAAAACAGACCAAGTGAAGTCTAATGCGGCGGAGGAAGAGCAGACTGAGAGATCGATGCAAGAGAGTGTGAGTCCGAGGATCAAAAAGGGTGTGAGTACCTGTATTTTAAAACATGGAGGGGGGGGGGTGCAAGAAAAGCCTCTAAACTGAATGCCACGGGAATCACAGTGAACCCCCCCCAGAGGAAAAAAGGCGGGCATTAAAATCACCAGTAAAAAGAATCGGTTGTGGTAATGACGAAACAAGAAAGGCAATATCCGGAATAGATAATGCCCGAGAAGGAGAGAGATATAAAGAACAGAGCGTTAACCACCTATGCAAGTGGATATGGGCTGCTGTGTAATGCAGCGAAGTACGAACAAATAGCTGATGGTATGGAATATCAGTGCGTAGAAGAAGGGCACTTCATTAAAGGTCCCATCAGGAAAAGGATCTGAAGAAAAACAATAAAATTATAGCCTGAGATGGGAGAGATAACAGCAGAGTGTAATTTTGGTTCCTGTAAGCAAACACCAACAGGGAAAAACTGGGAGAGTAACATCGAAGCTCACCCCGATTACCCCTGAGGCCCCGAATATTCCACTGTAAATAGGCCATGATTGGCAATGATAAAGATACCTGAAATCCGCAGGTAAGGGTTCCTACGGACAGAGGGGGTTTGAAAAGTCCACATGCGGAGGCAGTGGAAAACGTTCAAGCAGCGAAGGAACGGTGCGCTGTGAAGAAAGGAGTTGCGCAGATGGAGTAGAGGAGAGAGAAGGAGCGGAGGGTGGATCAGTGTCCATTGATGGTTTGGTCTCTGCAATATATTCAGAGATTGCTTCAAGTGTTTCAGAATTCAGAGACGTCGTATGGGAGACAATATTGGAAATGGTAGGGGGAGGATGAGTAAAGATTGGAACTGTAATGGACTGTACCAAGGTAGGGGGGGCGAAAGGGTGGAGGGAACTGGAGAAGCGTGAAAGGGGACAGAAGAGGCAGAAACCTGGGAGGTGGCAGAAGAGGAAGAAACTTGGGAGGGAACAGGGGAGGAAGGAACAGTACGAGGAGGAGGGTGAACCTCTACACTTGTAACAGAGCCAGTGAGAGGGGGAGAACCAGGTACTGAGACAGGGAAGGGCAAATGAGGAGGTGGAAGATGGGTAGGAGGTGTTAACGGACCTTTTTTTGACTTTTGAGAAGTAGAGGGACGATTGGGAGGAGGTGTCATACGAGATCTCGTCGCTACTGAGGCTTGTGAGAGAGAACACGAAGAAGCAAGATCAGACTGAGACGTTGAAGTAGGGACGTCTGAGCCGAGGACAGCAAAAGAATTAGCTACAGGAGTGACTATGGGAGAGGTACACAGAGGTGGGTGCAGAAGATGGGATACCAGAAGTGGGGGGACGTTTTGAAACACGGGAATAAGAAACACGAGGTAGTCTCCCTTGGAGGCGGAGATGAGAAACTGCCATGGCATAAGGGAGACCTTCTGCCTCTTTGAGGTAACGGATTTCCCGCTCGTTTAAGTAGACTTGAC